TTAATTGTTAATACATTAAATGACCCATCTTTTTCAATATTATATAGACGAAAACTAGCACTTTTAGAATTGGAATACTTTTAGAATAGACAAAGTTTAGAATTTGCATATTGTACTTTTAAGCATAGTAGAAATTTTAAACCAAAACAATTAAATAGAATAGTTTTCAAACATTAAATATCCTAATTAAACATCATTGTTATAAAATCTTAGATTATAATGATAATCTTGTTTTTTATGATAATGAGACTTTTCGGCATTTAAAATAGTACATTGCACAAAATTTGCACTGTTAATTCTATTTAATATAAATAACTTTATTTAATACAAATTATTTTATTTAATATAAATGTGATTGACATCAAAGTAGTATTTTAAACTTGCCTGGCATGCAAAAAAGAAAGAAAAATAAGCTGACCCCCTGTGTGAAACTAAAAGAAAAATATAATATTAAAGTAAAGAAAAATAGTCATTGTATATTTGGAAAAGTTTGAATCTATCAATAAGAACTTCAAAATTGAATATTTGTTATTTGATTATCATCTTTTATTTATTACTGAGTTCTCTATTTTTAACCTATTCTAGAGTATTTTCAATCAGTAAGAAATGAATAATAATAAGTAACAGTTTTAAATATTCATTACATTTTATTTGTAATTTCTTGAATGCTTGTTTGTTCAGAAAATCCTTTTAAGGAAATTTACTTACAATTTCAAACTGACGCTAAATGTGTATAGATTTTCTTTAAAGATTAAATGAAAACGTACTATTAAAGGCATTTATGCCATTTCACGACAATATTGATGTTATTACCTCAAATGATAAGCATTTTTCGTTTATTCTTTAATTTTTCATCTTTATTTTCAATGATAGAAACAATGAACTTTAAATATCAACGCCTCGTGCTTCACTATCTCAATTTTTTTAATAATTTAAGATAGGGTAAATGTAAATATTAGATGAAGTTCTAATAATTAAATTACATTCACCAAAATATAACTAAATTTTTTTTAAAAATTTTGCTGGACCTTTATGAGATATATACTTTAAGGGTCCACAATGTACGTATGCACACAATAAAGTTGAAATACTTTTATCGCATGCAATAGTTTTTATCAAGCAGAATAATTTTTTAGACCTTAAGAAAAAGTTCTAAATTGAAGCGGAATCGAAAGATTAAGGTTTTAAAAAGATTTTTACTGTCATTCCCAAGCTAATATCTTTAATAAGAATTTCGATAAAAATACGTGAACTAAAACAATTATTTTTTGCCAACCTGAGTTATAAAATTGTTGCGAAAGTAGCCGTAGAATTTAGTTTCGACTTGGGATCCCCTAGAGTCATTTAGTAAACATTAGAAATTATACTTTTGTTTCATTTCAGAGGTTACAGATAAAAAGCAAAAAAATGAAGATGAAAAAAAACCACTTATTTTTTCTTAGAATTTGATTTACTGTATAATCTAAATAAGCTTTATTTGTAACTCTGATGAATATTCAAGGCTTACTCGTAAGTTAGATTTGAAATTTTTTTTTTAAAGAAAAGCTCTTTTTTGGTGTTATTATTTTTATCTTCTGATCCACGATAGCATTGAGTTGTCTTTGAGATCCAGAATGGTTGTTTGAAGTCCTTCGAACTTCAGATAGGTGACTACCAGGCTATCTGGAATGTCGTTGCGCATTGATGCCTGCACTGCCACTATTACACTGTTTGCCGCAATATTGTGGAAACTTAACCATTTGATCTATTATACTTTGTTGTATACCTATCGAGAGAGCCTGTTTGCTTCTAAGTGTACGCCAAATAAATGCCAAGCTCGCAACGTAAACGTATATCAACATCGCCAACTTTTGAAAGTACGTTGCACAGCCTTCTTTTTGCTTGCTTTCACAAATAGTGTAAAATGAGGAAAACAAAACTTATTGAATACTCAACTAACAGGTAATAGGAATTAATAAAAATGATATCTAAAAATGGTAACGAATATACGCCTTTCTATTCACATTTAAAGACAATAATGAAATAATACTAAACTAGTGGGCTGCGCTCCCTGCTCGCTAACGCTCGCCAACCCCCGAAATACGCAATCTTGTATGGCTTGCTTCGCAAACCAAGCTCGCTTCGCTCGCTACTAACTTAGGTACATTGCAAATGCACAAAATTCTAAGAATTCAAAACAATCATTTAAATCTATATAAATATTTTTTTTTTTTAAAAAATTACATCTTTTTAGTAAGCGAAGCTTGACCCCGTCCCGCTTCCACGGGGGGCATCCGGGTATTACATGAAAACTATCGTTAGAGTAACTTCGTATCAGACGGCGGATCCAGAGGTGCATGGACACTTGAAATGCATGTCCTCGAGTCACGCACGTCTGAGCAACACTACGACGTCGACGGATAAAGGATGCCTGAAGGGAGCAAAGCTCCGAGTCGACCACTCAGCGGCGGTGCCAAACCCAACTGTAGACGCTCAGCAAAGAGCGCTGCACAAGGAGAGCCAGCCGCCATCCTGACCCATCAAGTCATCCTCTGCCTGGAAGGAGCTAAAACTGATGCTTTACTTTTAATGATCAAAGAACAGACAGCAATGCCAAACTATTGTAGGCAACTATTGTATGCAAACTATTGTATTGTAGTAAAATAATAATACCAAAATTAAATTAAAATAGATCAAAGTTACAAAAATACTCCATTTGAATGTGTCATGGGACGCCAAAACTGGCTCACAAAGTCATGGGGCAGTGACGATTTCAGTAGCCGATCCTCTTCTTTAACTTGTCTAGCTCTCTTCGGTACGCCGGACATGAATCTTTCGTAGCCGGATGATTCGTATTTACTCCTATACCGAACTTTTCGTTCGCAATGGTACAGTTAACACATTTGCTTTTTTGTTTGCACTCTTTCATTTGGTATCCTGCATCACCTCAGTTCGCACAGGTTTCCTCTTTCTTTCAGTCTTTGGCCATATGGCCAAATCCGTTGCACTTATAACATCGTAAGGCCCTAAGGTATTCCTTAGTTCGATGTATTCTCCATCCAATTTTGATGGTTACTTTCCTAATCAATTTCTTAAAAGTTTTGGGGTTAAGACTGATTACCTATTGGGTTCCCTTTTTACCCTTGACAGGAAATAATACTTCTATCTCAGATTTCTCTTCGATCTCATAATTTTGCTCTTCTAATTTTGACTTTATCTCTTCGTTCGGGAGTTCAGGATCAACGTCGTATATTATCAGCCTGGGCGATTTCTTTTCTGGTACTTGGCAAATGTAGCTTTTGCTTAGTTTTTTTTCACTTTCAAACTCTTCAGTTAGTTTTCTAACATCTCTTTTGGTTTCTACTTGGATAAGTACTCCGCCTTTTTGAATTTTCTTTACCTTCTTAACTCCTAAAGCAAGTTCTGAGGGCTCGATGTTTTTCTTTAAAAATCTTACTGTCTCTTCAGAAGTCCCGGACTTCTTAGGTTTTACCAGCACTACGTGCTCTGTCTTCCCCCTCGGAGCAGTTGGAGTGATTACTCTTGCTGCGTCTGCATACGTCTTTGACGCTTTTTTAATTTTTGTACTTATAATTTCATTGAATGCTCTTTCTGCTTCCAACTGTCTCCCTTTGGTGTATGACAACACTTCGTTTTGTCTTGAAACTATATCCATGTAATCAAATGCAATTTTAGTTAAATTTACTATACTCGCTGCGGTAAGTTTTTTCCCAAGATTTTCGCACAAAAATCTCATAAAGGATCCGTTCAAAACTGTCGCTGCCTTAGTCCAATCTCTCTGTGAGTCCTCAAATGAGTCATTGAATTCGTCTGGGATGGACTCAGACTCCGAATCGCTATCCATCTTGGATCAAGATAAAACGAAAGTTGAAGAGTAAGCTAAAATTTTGAGTCTCTTTAGACAACCTTCAATCTGTCTTCGTCTCACAATCGATGTCATAATCGTATATGAAAGTTCTCTTAAAAAAAGAAAAAAAAAATTTGTTCAAGGAAACCTTAAGAGCTCGAAGTCAGATGAGCTGTCTTCGGTCTACCGTCCCCTCTATTTGCGTTAGCCACCAGAAGGTGTTTTTCCCTCGTACCGCGAAGAGGTGCAAAGAAGGTGTAATTAAGCTGATTATGATGGTAATTGGTAGACCTTTTAAGAAATCGACGCAGGCAATAGACTCTTGGCCGTTGTTCAGCTGCGAGTATTCGTTCTCGAAATACTTAGTTGGCTCGTTCGAATTCTAAGGGACACGAGGGACATCTCTTTAGTATTGAAAATTTTACAGCGACCTAGGCCAATAGGCCCATACGCTGAATACAATGGAACAACAATTTTTAACTTGACAGCAAGTACACAGAAATAAAATGTTAAAAATTTTACAGTAACAACGATGTCAACAAGCCTCTAAAACATTGAAATACATGAGAACGAAGGTCAACGGTATTTATTATTTATAATTTAACATATAACATATCGTATAATTTAACATATCGTATAATTTAACATATCTTATAATTTAACATATCTTATAATTTAACATATCTTATAATTTAACATAACTTATAATTTAACATATCGTTCAAAAATTTAACATAAAAATAAACTAAACCTATATTGGTCGTGTTTGGTGTTGTTACGTTCAGGCCAACAGACCCTTATAGTAACATAATATATCTAACATCACAAACCCATTTTTACTTACTAGATACTACATTTGAAGTAAGGTATCAATAGGATCGAATGAAGAGCTAGAGCTAGTTGCAGTGTGAAAGTAAATAGTTAGGAATTACACATAAGGTAAAAGTACACATTAGTACAAGCCTGTCCAAAAGGACATAAAATTTGTAAAATTCAGTAAAAATGAAAATTGAAAAAACATTACAGTTTTAAAACATTTTGTTAAAATAAGAAATTGACTGTACAAAGCCATTAACATGCATAAAATTTCAAGGTATAAAATTATTTGTGGATAAAAGATAGGATAAAGATTTACATCCAAACAGGTTTGTTGCTAAACCTGTTTGGGGGTCCTCAGTACCTGGAGATCTATTGTCTTAGAGCTAATGGCGTTTTTGGCTGCCTCATCTGCCTTCTCATTGCCCTGGATCCCCACAAGTGCTTTGACCCAGTTCAATTTTATGTTGTTGCGCCATAGTTGTTTTGTTTCTTCAATAATTACTGAACTGGGTTCTGGGTCAGCCAGGGCGTGTAAGGAGGACATGCAATCAGTATAGATTGTTACATGTTCGATATGTTGCTGATTGATCCATGTTAGAGCTGTTTTAATTGCCATGAGTTCTGCTGAAAAGATATTTTTGTTGTCGGTGACTCTGGTGGAGACCTTATGTATTGTGATACCATTCTGTTTAATAATCATTGCAAAGGCTGTCTTATAATGATTAGGTTGTTCTGTGTCCATCTTAGAGCCATCCGTATTGAAGATCTCCGTGCCCTGATCTTATGGGCAATCATATCCCCAAGTCAAGGATCGATATTTTGAAGGGTGTTCCGGGGCTGGTTTATCGAAGTTCATTGTATGGTCAAAGTTAGTTGGGAAGACGTACTTTATATCCTCAAATCTCCAGCCCCATTTGACTCTTTTAATGTAAATGTCTTCAATTATCTTAAGTTGGATAGGAACGACGCCCGCCAGTATCTGGATAACCACCGTGCTAACAGTAGATTAAGTTTTAGTAATGACATCTTTTTAGGAAATACTAAGTCATTAAAATAAATTTGAATTCAAATGAATGACATTTATTCGTTAAACCTATTAGAAATGTGCTATAGTATAATTCGTAATATAAATCAAAAATCGTCAATAATATTCGTAATATATAAATTCGTTAAAAAAAAAAAAAAAAAAATTTGATTTTTACAAAATACTAAAATAGAGATCTATCGACAAAGACTACTCACTTCTGCCTAGCTTAATAGTATGAGATTGCCGCAGCTGATGCTCTCTGGTTATTTCAATTTCCGTTTTTAAAAGCGCTGTATGTTGATCCACCTCAGCTAGATTTGGCATGTGACATTTTCAACGGCAATCATTGGTCGATTCGCCGTGTAAGAGAAATAGTAACGTAAACAAAACAAAGCAAGCGTTGCCACCGGCGGAAAAGAAATACAGCCAAAATTTCGGAGCCACGTAAGAGAATTATATATATTAGATGTTTCTTGCAGACTATTTTTTTTTACAAAAGTAAAAATTTCTTATCTGGCATTTGATTTGTCACGGGCATGTGAGTATAAGACGCGCCATTTTTAGTGGTTCAATTAAACTCAATGTTCTTGCAACGTCATATAGTTGCTTCTTTTCTTTTCAATACCGAATGTTCTCATTATTTATCGAAATACGTCGCTAAGTCTAGAATTTTAGTAAGACTTTGAAACTATAACTTTTTTAAATAACATATATATANGTAAAATGTATTTTTATAATACATATTTTTTTACTCATATAATTTTTTGTGAGGTGTAACAGATGAGGTTTCCTTGTAGAAAACCCCGAATTACGCTAAATCTGCTTCAATTTCCCCATATCTTCAATATTAATTTGTATATCTAAACTCAAAAGACAGCATGCACTTTTTTTGGATATTTTGCCATTAAAACCTACATTTAATTTAATTAAAGTTTTCACTCTTTGAACTTTTAAAACATTGCTATTTGAGATCTCATCTTTTTCCCCCCTCCCATTTTTGCAATTTCTTTGAAGGAAGTGATTCACGAGAACCTATGACTGCCGATCATTTAAATATGAGTGCTATATTTGCAAGTGGCATTAGTTAAAAAATAAATACATACGTATATATTTCGTAGAATAATATTTGTATTAATAAAATCTGACATCCATTAGTTAAGATAAATACATGCGTATATGTTTCATAGAATAATATTTGTATTAATAAAATCCGAAATCTGCTAGATGGTACAATAAATATATATGTATATATTTCGCAGAATAATATTTGAATTAATGAAATCTGAAATCTACTAGATAATTAAATAAATATACGGGTAAATATTTTTATAATAATTGTTGCATTAGTAAAAATCTGAAATGTACTAGATTGGCAATATTTATACTGATAAAAATTGGTTTGTAAATATTATTCGCATTTTATTATTTAAATTTGCTATGTAATTAGATAATAAAATAAGCAATGGTTAAATTCAAATTGAACTTCTCTATTACGTAATCAAAAGAAAGAAGATATCTTAATATTATTCAATATCAACCATCATTACTAATATATTTCGAGTGGGTGTTAAATTCAACCCTGTTTAAATTCAAAGTGATCTATTTAATTGTGCAATCGAGAGTAAGAAAGCATAGTAATGTTATTCAACATTGATCAACATTGATGACAGCTAGAGTTGGAATCCAAATCTTAGTAGCTTTCGAGGGAACCTTTATGATTATTTGTTGCGAATGTTGTCACTTTTGTTTTCAAGTATTGATAAATAAAAAGAACAATGATGAACATTTAAACAATGGTGAAAGTGAATAAAGAGAGCAAACATTTAAATGTTGCTATCTAGATAAGTGAGGCACTGTAGCTTACTTTTTTTTTATGCTACACTGAATTTGATGGTTAAAATATGGCGTTGGTTGCAAACTATACAAGTATGGTTTGCAAAACACTGCGAAGAAACCCAAATTAGGTGCAAAGATTGTATGGTAAGACTACCTCGAGCCTTGTTTGCAAGTTTGTAACGGTAAAGTTCAATTCTAATAAATGTTTTACCCAGTAATTTGCATATTTTCATTAGTATCGTTATACCTTTGAATTTCATTAAAAAATCATAATTTAACCAAGATTAATTTTCAAAATTTTGCTAGTATTTGATTATTTTTTGACTTCAATTTAGCATTTCTTTATGAGTTAATTCTGTGTTGAAAAAAAACTCTTTTGCAAAAACATTTTGTTTATTTTAACTCTAAAATATATGTAGATTAGAAATATTCATTAAGAAATACTAAATGTTTAAACCTATTTTGATTAAAAAAAAGAGTGCGAGAATAATTCATTTTCTGGACGAAAATGATATTACAGCTGATTTCTTTCTGATTTCACTAGCAAGCGGCTGATGGACAGAATCAACATTGGATTCTGCTTGATTATTTAGCTGGAAAACTCTTGATATGGTAGTCAGTTAAATAAATATGAAAAAGATAAGGTTGATCATTGATCTAACCTCCCATTTTTTCTTTACAAATAAATTATTATTTGAATTTTTTTTAAATTTTTTTTGGATTCATGCTTGATTATAAGAGATACAAATTAAAAAAAAATTAATTAATTTATTAGAACTAAATTCAAAGAATGCGTGTTTATTACTTCTAAACTGGTGTCAATTAAGATGTGTGTGATGTTAAAGAAACATTATATATTAGTGTGATATTAGTTAAATGGATTTCAAATCCTCTTAAAAAGATTTATANTATAATAATAATATATATTTCCTCAAATACTTTCTTGTGAGGTGCAACAGATGAGGTTTCCTTGTGGTAAACCCCGAATTACGCTAAATCTGCTAAAATTTCCCCATATCTTCAATATTAATTAGTATTTCTAAACTCAAAGGACAACATGCACTTCTTTGGACATTTTGTCATTAAAACCTACATTTAATTTAATTAAAGTTTTCACTCTTTGAACTTTTAAAACATTGGAAGGAAGTGATTCACGAGAACCTATGGCAGCCGATCATTTAAATATGAGTGCTAGATTTACAAGTGGCATTAGTTAAAAAATAAACATAGACACATACTTCATGGAATAATATTTGTACTAATAAAATCTGAGATCTATTAGTTAAAACAAATACATGCTTATATGTTTCGTAGAATAATATTTGCGTAGATAAAATCTCGAAATCTGCTAGATGGTTCAATAAATATATACGTATATATTTCGTAGAATAATATTTGAATTAATAAAATCTGAAATCTACTAGATAATTAAATAAATATATGCGTAAATATTTTTATAATAATTCTTGCATTAATAAAATCTGAAATCTACTAGATTGACAATATTTATAGTGATAAAAATTGGATTGTAAATATTATTCGCATTTTATTATATAAATTTGCTGGTACGTAATTAGATACTGAAATAAGCAATGGTTAAATTTAAATTGAACTTCTCTATTACGTAATCCAAAGAAAGAAGATATCTTAATATTATTCAATATCAACCATCATTACTAATATATTTCGAGTGGGTGTTAAATTCAACCCTGTTTAAATTCAAAGTGATCTATTTAATTGTGCAATCGAGAGTAAGAAAGCATAGTAATGTTATTCAACATTGATCAACATTGATGACAGCTAGAGTTGGAATCCAAATCTTAGTAGCTTTCGAGGGAACCTTTATGATTATTTGTTGCGAATGTTGTCACTTTTTTCCTCAAGCATTAGTGAATAAAAAAGAAATGATGAACTTTTAAATAATGGTAAAAAAGAATGAAGAGAGCAAAAATTTAAATGTTGCTATCTAGATAAGTAAGGCACTGTAGTTTAACTTTTTTCACGCTACACCGAATATGGTGGTTAAAATATGGCATTGGTTGCAAACTATACAAGTATGGTTTGCAAAACACTGCAAAAAAAGCAAATTATGTGCAAAGATTGTGAGGTAAGACTACATTGAGCCTTGTTTGCAAGTTTGTAATGGTAAAGTTCAATTCTAATAAATACTTTGCTAGTAATTTGCATATTTTTACTAGTACATACATTATATCTTTGAATTTCCTTAAACAAATCATAATTTGATTAAGATTAATTTTCAAAATTTTGCTATTATTTGATTATTTTTGATTTCAATTTAGCATTTTTATGATTTAATTCTGTGTTGAAAAAAAAAACTCCTTTTCCAAAAAATTTGTTTAGTTTAACTCTAAAATATATGTAGATTTGAAAGATGCATTAGGTAATGCTAAATTTTTGAACCTATTTTGATAAAAAAAAATGACAGAGGGCTCAAAAGAGTACGAGAATAATTCATTTTCTGGACGAAAATGATATTACAGCTGATTTCTCTTTGATTTCACTAGCAAACGACTGATGGACAGAATCAACATTGGATCCTGCTTGATTATTTAGCTGGAAAACTCTTGATATGGTAGTCAGTTAAATAAATATGAAAAAGTTAAGGTTGATCATTGATCTAACCTCCCATTTTTTCTTTACAAATACATTATTATTTGGAAAAAAATTTTTTTTTTTGGATTCATGTTTGATTATAAGAGATACAAATTTTTAAAAAACAAATTAATTAATTTATTATAACTAAATTCAATAAATGTGCGTTTATTACTTCTAAACTGGTGTCAATTAAGATGTGTGTGATGTTAAAAAAAACATTATATATTAGTGTGATATTAGTTAAATGGATATCAAATCCTCTT